GCATATTTGTGCCGAATTTTCAACTGACGTATTCGCTTAATTTTAATAATCACAATATTTTCATCAAAAATTTTCGCTCATATGCGGAATAGGCCCGAAGCTGACATTAAGCAATAACAAGCCAACTATACTACAGCAAAATTATCATCCAGCCATCCAGCCAGCTTTACTTAGTCTAATCGCAGGTCATATAATGAAGATCACTAATCAGGGATCCCTTCGATTCACCGACAATCATTTCACCGAACGATCATTTAGCCGACATCACATAGGGTTAGGGTTAAGCATTTCATTGGTTGCAGGTATATATTTTTACTAAATTTCACCTGGCGTGATGTCGTCAAAAATGAGCTGTCGGTAAAGTGATTGTCATTTTTGTTATAAAAAAATATTATTGATATATTATTAATAACAATATCAAAATGTAGCTATTGCATATTGTATCACAATATGTACAGAAAAATTCAAAGTTACGTTTTGAGAATTTTGGCATTGTTTTATTCTCCCCGCTACGCTCCAGAAAAATAAAAGGAGCGTTGTCACGTTAAAGAGCACATTATAACGAATCTGACAAATATAATTATATTTGTGTGGTTTGCTGGTTCAAGAGTTATTGCGCTTGGGCTTTCTGCATATGTTTTTATAAAAATCTTGATTAGTGAACTTCATTAATGACCTGCAGTTAGACTGATCAAGTACGGCCTATTCCCGACCCTAAATTTTGGTCGATCTGCTGAATTTTGGTTGCTCCCACTAATCTAATGTGCACCGTGAACAACGTGTATTACCACGACTTCACCGTGCTAACCCATAATATTCACAACAGCTCATGAAAATATCTATTACAAATATCATCGAATAGGCCAAATACTGAAATACGTAATTATTTGCATTTTTGTATATCTGATACCATTAACGTTAATGCATTACATAACAATAACGATAATGATAAAATTTTTAGAATGGACCCAGCAACTCGGCTTTTAATTAAAATACCGATACTGTAAAAGGATTATCAAAGAGTCGAGTTATAAAAGCTAACAAATTAATTTTGACATTTTTTCGTTGGGGATTTTACCAAATATATGGAATGGCTAAGTCTGTTATATGTTTTTGATTATTTAATTAAATAAAATTAGAGTAAGGATTAGTTAGAGGTTAGGATTGAGGCATGTCTTATAAGTAAAATTTGTGGTTAAGGTTAGGTGAGGTCTTATATGTAAAATTGGATTCCTACCATTTTTTGTTAGACACTCGTTTTTGGTATTTTTTTTGTTTCGTTTGCTAAATCAAAATTGGTGTCTTGATTGGCGGTTAGTCACATGAGCACACCTGGCATTAGACGATCCTAAATTTGGTAAATAAATAAGTTCATTTTCCAGCCAAAAGAAAGCCAACCATCAATGGGTGATCAAGCTGTGGTTTCAAAACAACTTTCTCCTATAGAAACAAGTATTTGTGGGGCGGTTGCGGGTGCAGCTTCCAGGTATTTCAAACTTTTAGTTTTAATTGCAAATCTAATTACTAATATTTTTCACAAATTATCAGGCTCGTCGCCTCTCCGCTTGACGTAGTCAAAATACGTCTTCAGGTAAATTTTCTATTATTTTAGACGGACAATAATGCTAACGCAGTGTAATATACAAAAGTAATTGAAATGATAATTCTGACTTTATCTAATTTATTATAAAGCTTCAAACAGGAAGACCATCGTTTGGCTTTGCTTTAAACCAAGTTTCTCAATCAAAAATTTTAGACAGAAAGTATAATGGTATGTTACATGCTATTGGCTTGATTATAAGAGAAGAAGGTATAAGGGTAAGAATAATTTTATTAAATTTTACGCATCATTTAGTTTATAAACTCATCTTTTGATTCATTAACCCATTGTTTGTTTACAGGGATTATGGAAAGGAAATCTTTCTGCAGAATATTTGTATCTTTCATATGGTGCTGTCCAGTTCTTAACATACAGACAAATGCAAATCCTATTTAACTCTATCGGAGATGGCCGAGATAATAAACTAATTTTCAATAAAACATTGCAACCATTCTTGAGTGGCGCTGTTTGTGGAATGACCGCTACTGTTTCTACGTATCCGTTCGATTTGCTTAGAACTAGGTTTGCTGCTCAGGGCGAAAAAAAGGTCAATATCGTAGTACTTACTACTTATAATAAGTATTGCACTCCTACATTCTGTGCCAGGGCTGTCCGGGGCTGACAATGGAATGGATACTAATTTTTTGTCCATTCGTTAAAGCGGTGTGAGGTTTTGATCGACAGACTATCGACCAATCAAATTGTGGAATTTTGACTCAGAAAAATGCGAAATTCACACCGCTTTAACCGGGTTCTAGATGCCAGGTTATGTCGATCAGTGTAACATGATTGCTGTGTATACCCCAAAAATGAGAGACGCGACAATTTTAAAACGTCACGTGATCGTTGCGTACGAACTTACCAATAGGATTACGGATAAGATTATAAGAAAAATTATACCAAAATCATAAAGCTTTTACTATGCTAATCTTACCTGGGCCTTTAGTAAAAGGTGTAGAGGAGGTTATTAAGGTTATTACAATTCTAATGATGGTAAAATCATCAAAATCGGTCTAATGGATCATAAGATTTGAGTAAAAAAGTTCTGAGATTCTTAAAATTTTTCAACTTTAAACATTTTTTTACACCTATCTCGTGATCCATTAGGTCAATTTTGATGATTTTACCATCGTTGGAATTGTAATAACATCTTATATACCTTTTACTAAAAGCCCAGGTAAGGTTAGCATAGTAAAATATTTGATTCCGATTGAAAAAATTTCAAGCTTTTGGTATAATTTTTCTTATAATTTGATCTATAATCTTATCTGCCAATTTTTCACGTGATAATAGTAAGATTGTTGTATCTCGTCTGATTGGCTTTCATCGTTGTTTGTATTACAATAACATGAATAAGGTCGTTTCCTTTTTGAGAGTTATACGTGTTATACTAATCGACAAAGCTAATACGAATAGACTTTGGATTATCCGACATCCCGCTTTAATCATTGAACCTAGCTGCCGCACCAAAATTGTCACGGTAGATTCTTGATTTTGATTGGTTAAAAGCGACGATCAAAAATTTACTACAGCCGCTCATTAAGTGAAAAATGTTCTTGGAATGAAAAGGTTAAACCGTTAATTCCGGCCAAAAATTATGTAAACAATTATATAATGCGGGCCAAAATTTTGTAGATCACGGTCGTTAGCCAATCAAGATCGAGAATCTGCCGTGACAAAATTGGTGCGGCAGCTAGGTCTTTTAGTAGGGTTCTGCAAATGCCCATGCCAGGCATATCGGCACTATGCCAGGCACTAGTGCCTCATGCTATGCCCATACCTATAGGCACAAAAGTGCCAGGAATTATTATAGGCATAGGCACAAATGCCAGGCATTTTTATAGGCATGGGCACAAATGCCAGGCATTTTATGGGCATAGGCAGGCAAAAAGGTGCCAGGCACAATTTATTAATAAATATTAAATTTATTGTGCCCATTCCTATGCCCATGCCAGGTTTTTGTACCCGTGCCATGCCTATGCCTAAATTTTTGTGCCCATGCCATGCTCATGCCCAAATTTTTGTGTACCCATGCCTATACCCATGCCTAAGTTTTAGTGCCCTTGGCAGTGCCAAGGCTTTTGTTAGGCACAGGCACGATGCCGGGCTGCAGATCCCTATTAATCAGCGATTATGTCTAAATAGAACGCCTGTAGATCTCCCACAAAAAATTCCCCCTACCGTGACTTAATCATAAAGATTTTGATTTTTCGTTACACTTGATTTTTCGATCTAATTGGATAAAAATCACGAGGCAGGATTTTTGTAGGAGAGTTACTAACAATTCTAAATAGTCTACCCCCGTTATAACGTAGTGATCGTGCTGAGAAATTCCGTTATATAGTATAATAATAAAAATTTTACGTATATAATAAATTGTTTTAGAAAATATTTCGTTATAGCGAGGTATTCGCTATAACGAAGTCCGTTGTAACGAGGGTAGACTGTAATAAATTATTATTTCTTAGTTATAGTTATCATTAATGCCTTGATTAAAAATGTTTGCCTATAACTACTAATGAAATTCATGAAGCTTCTGAAAAAGAAATTGCTCATTTGGATATAACACAAAAACTAGTTTGGTGTAAACATTTTACCGACAAGAACTTCATAATATGTAAAATCGAAGCATTAAAAAATAATACGGAAGAATCGGTCCAGAATTATCACAAAAACATTTTTAAAAAAAAAATGTTAAAAGAGAAACATCGATTAATATTAAAAGTTATAATCGTTGCAATCTTTATGAATACTGTGTCAGAAGGATATGGTGCCGGGAATCTATAATCGACAATCACGGGAAATGTTTCAATTTTCTCGTGAACGTGACTGACCGATATGCTGTGCCGAAAATACAGTATTTATTGTTTAAAATCGCTAAAACTTTTTATAGAAAAATTTTTTAAAAAAATCATTCGATAACTTTATACACACAGCTGGGTTCTACAAAGTTACCGGTTTAGTTTTTTGAAACAAAAAAACAAAAAGAATCATTCTTCGAATGCTATAACTCTTTATAGAAGTTTTTTTTCAAAAAATTAAACCAGTAACATTGTAGAGTTCAATTCCGTGTATAAAATTATTTAAAATTTTGTTTCTTGCTGCATTTCGAAAATACATTAATTTATTGATCACCGAAACATTCCCGTGATTGTCGATTATAGATTCCGGTAAAATGGATACAGATATATCTAAATAATATCTATCGAATACGGATATAGTCATCCGGATCGCTACTTTAGCACAGAATGCAGGAGTGTATCTTGTAACTTTATATATTAATAGACAATGTATTTTATTTATCTTATTTTAGGTATATGTAGGCATAATACAAGTAATAAAGCATATTTACTCTCAAGAGGGGATAGAAGGATTTTACCGAGGAATTGCTGTATCCGTAATGCAAATTATTCCTTATATGGGTCTAATGTTTGGTAGTTATGAAATATTCAAGAAATCGTTTCGAAACCTTGAGGTAAGATTGTTGTGTGTTTATATGTATTATTATTTTCCTAATTATTTTTATTCGTCTTTTAATAGGAAAAGAGTTTATGGTTCAGTAATTTAAAAGGTACTGAAGATTTTTTTAGTGGCGCATTAGCCGGAATGATTAGCAAAACTGGAATATTTCCACTTGATTTGTTAAGAAAACGGTTACAAATTCAAGGTCCCAATCGATCAAAGTATGTAATCAAGAATATTCCAGCTTATTCTAGTTCTATATATTCTTGTATACGACAAATAATTATTGGAGAAGGATTTTTTGGGCTTTACAAAGGACTAACTCCTGCATTGTTAAAAGCTGTGCCAGTTAGTGCTACAACGTTTTTTGTCTATGGACAAGCAAAAAAATTATTAGAAAGTTTACATAGCATATCCTCGTAATATTTGTAAAAATAATTGGATTAGTTTTAGTAGTTAAAATTTAATTGTAAATTTTGTCTGCTCTAGCCTATTGTGAATTTTAATATTAAATTTCACTAATGTATTATAACAATATAATTAGGTTTTAATTTGATTATATAAAAAAAAATACAAAATGGTATTACATTATTGTAGATATTTTTTACTAAAACGCACCTATGGTGTTTTACACCTATGTATACATTATTTCAAAAACTGGCTAATTAATCGGTGTGAGGTGTTCTAAGTAAAAATGTTCTATGCCTCAAAAACCCTTCCCAAACCCTAATCCTAACCTTAATATTAACTTTAACGTGAAAAAATTGGTGTTAAAAATTTTATACGTATACAAAACTTGTAAAAACTTAGAAAATTTTAAAAAGCATAAAATATATGGGGGTGAGTTAGTAAAAATGCACCAAATTTTTTCTAAATAAATTTTTTTAAATCTTTGAACAAAAATAACTTAACAATAATTTAAGCAAATTTAATAAAATTTTTTTTTAAATTAATTTTATAAACTTGTAGAATTTATTTTTAAAAAAAAATTGTATTAAATTTAATTAAGCTTTGTTGAGTTATTTTTGTTTAAAGGTTTAAAAAATTTCATTAAAAAGATTTGGTGCATTTCTACTGACTCACCTCCATATAATAAGTGCAAAACCATCATAGGTGTGTTTTATAATAATTGTTTTTTAAATATTTAGATATCAAGTTAAAAATTATAAAAAATTTATTAAATTTAAAGCTTTTAAATAAAAAATTATAATTTTCTTTTAAGATTAATGAATAGAATTTATATGTAGATTTAGTACGTTGTATTAGATTCGTATATTTTCAAGTCTAATTATCTACTAATTTTAAATAATAATTATATTTTATATAAATAATTGTCAAATTTATATTAAAAAAATTTAAATTTGTTTTTAAATTTTTAATAATCTTTAGTATTTTATATAATTTTTTTGTTTTGATATTCAAGATGAGGTCATGTCTTTGGTTTTTATTATTAATACTTATCTACTGCAACCATGGTGTAAGTATTATATATTAATTTATGTAATATGAAATGAACTACAGAAGCTTAGACAGTTATTTATAACCTATTAATATTTCTCATATTTCACATATTGTATAATTAACTTTTAGATTTCATTTTTCAGTTAGCAATTTTTAGTAATTACTATATTCTTTCTATGTCTTACTATATTTAGTCATAATTTATAATTTGATTTTATTAGTTTATTTTGTTTTTTATAAACTCTCAATTTGCTATGCTTGTAAATACTATTCTTGTAATATAGGTGATCTTTATATAGTTTGTATTTTAAGTTAAGAACTTGCAGCTTAATAAAACATTCTCTATTTCAAATATTCTTTTTAATAGAGCTTCTTGAAATGACATATCTTCTTCGTAATAAGTTTATACGATGATTTCAATTAGCAGTTTGGTTTCACGTTCATATATTAATGAGAATGGAGTAAATTTTGTAGTTCCATATTTTATAGTTTGATAAGCTAATAATACAGAAAGAAGAATTTCATTGCACTCTTTATATTGATAGCTTGTTATTTTTGCTAATGCTTTACCAATTGTTCGATTAAACCTTTCTACATACTATTTGTTTGTAGATGATAAACAGAAGATTTATAATATTTTATTTGTAGTTTTTTGCACAATTCTTCAACTACAGTATTCATAAAATTTGTTTCTCTATCAGAGAGTAATATAGTAGGTGCTCTATGTCAACAAACAATATCTTTATAAATAAAGTCAGTAACAGTAATAGCTTTTATATTCTTTAGAACTCTTGCTTCTGGCTATTTTGTTAAATAATTCATAGCAACAATAATATATCTGTTGCCTTGTTTTGTTATTGGTAAAGGTTCTTTTATATCTATTCCAACTTTATGGAATGAATATTTTATTTAGAGAGGTTAGAGGTCTTGTCTTCTAACTTTATATCCTCTTTGTTGGCAGATATCACAAGTTTGTATATAATTTTTAATATCTTTGTATATTGAAGGCCAATAATATCTTTCTTTAATTTTGT